TCCAAGAGGGCCTGGAAAAGAGGGAAATTCTTTCTCCAGAGCAATGGAGTTGCATATATCAATACACCATCAACTTCCACTCTAGTGGTCTTAGATTCAAGTAGATCAATTGCTTGTTGATCCTCTCTTGAACATATCACCTGCCTCTCCTCCCTAGGAGGTAAGATATCTAGTTTTCAGAGGTTCTCCACATTTCTCTTTAGTTCTGCCTCCAGCGGACTGAGTGAAGCAAACAAACACTGCTGACAGTGTTGGGAAGATTACTTTGGAAATGTAATTCATTACAATTACACGTTACTCTATTTAAAATGTAATAGTAGTGTAACTATTTCAATTACTATATGAAAGTAATGTAACTAATTAGATTTGATTACTTTTTGATTACTTTTCTAAATTATGAATGAATATTCTTAACCATTAACCATTTTGAAATTTTGTAACCTGACAGTGTTTACCTTACAGCAGTACTAAAACACTGACTCTTGTCAAACTCCTTTCAATGCATGAATTAACATGATTATAATTGATCAATTTGATAAAGATAACAGCCGGCAGAAGATCAGATTTCAGGCCTTGTTTTACTGTAAGATCATACAGTTATAAAGTCATTACTTTTTTTTATAAAATCAACAACACTGCTACTGTAAATGAAATATTAAACATTCAACAGCATTGAATAAGTGGCTGTCTATTCTTGTGAGATTGTCTGTGTGTTATCTCTATCTGCCAATAATTGAAACAGAACTGTGGACACTGTAGCTTAGTGTCAAGACAAAGAAATTTAATGAAAGATTTGCATCTACAACAGTCAATGCAATTTGGGCATAGAGCTGTGGACACTGTGCTCCAACTGAAAAGCTTTGTACAAAGACAAAGAAAAACCTTAAAACATTTGTATGTAAAATTTCAAAACCAAAAAATTAAATCAGAGTGTTCAGAGTGCTCCATTTCAGTCAAAAATCAAACTGGACGATCGAGTGATGGATAAAGGTACTAGGTGTCCAACACCATGCATCAATCATTGTGGATAAGATCGGGATAATGCTTACATTATGATACAAACATTTTATATACTTGCGAAAATAAATGGTTCCATTTTACTTCTGATCTGAACAGTTCTTGCATCAGACAGGATATGAAATTTCAGCTGATTGTGTAATCACTTATTCTGTTTAAGTCAATTTTTCAATCACAAATCACAGAGCAGCCTAAAACAGTGTCTTTGCAGCACTGTACAATAAAATGGGTTAGCAGAGTGGTAAGGCTACATCGGCCAGGGCTTAGCTAGTTAGTGAATTTTCAAAACTCAATACGACATAGCATGTCAGAAGTGCTAATATCAGACCTAACATAAATTACCAATAACCTTAGCATATTGAAGGAGGACGGCACATTTTCTGTCAACGGGATCAGAAGTGCCAGTGTGGCTTTAAAGCGCCGTGCACACTTCGCGATTCATTGTGGTGTTTATGCATGCTGTCAGTGTTTACATTTTGTTTTGTTGTCATACACGCCGTATCTCCAATGGACTGCTGGTACCGTTTGGGGTACTGCATAAGGCTCTTGTGACTGTACTGTCTGACTTCGACCTAAAGGTTGGACCTCATAGTCTCTTAGGTATGGAGGCAGGCGAGACTGGCGCTATGGGCGCGTAGACATAACTAGGGGGTCTTCACCAGGTTACTGATGCTGCATCTCGATGTCCTTTAGGATCCAAAGAAGCACCACATCCGCCTCGAAGGACCAATATTAAAGTGCTAGAAGCTAAGACTGTATGAGGAAGGTACCGGTAAGGTGGCACCTCTCTGGTGGCGTCGGTAAGAACACCAGGGAAGGCAGATGCAGTTCCAAACTTTACTGCATTCAATTAGGTTGTACAGTATTGCACTGGAGTTAACATAGGCTGGCCATTGGCTGTTACAGGTGCAATGACTTAGTTGTAGACAGGTGTGCATGTGGTCTAAAGAAGGAAATAATATTATATAAATAATTAAGACAATAAGAACATGCAGACATGTTCAGCTAAATAACACAAATACAACAACTTATACGATCTCTAATCACCAATCATGTAACAGTACTACCATCTACTGGTTAACCTCGGTACATAGTAAATACATAATAGTAATACTACAACCCTCGCTTAATGTATTATCCCATCTCTCCTAAACATTTCGTAGTCTACCGAGAACTGACTAACAAAATAAATTTAACATACAAGATACACAATTACAACAACAAATGCAGAATATAAAGAATCTGCCTGCAATACACTCGGTAGCAGATCTCCTCAAAAGTTACACGCTAACAACTTAGCAGTTGACCGCACTGCAATATTTATATTACAGCACCGAATGTAAACAATCCAGGACCAGTCACTTACTGTTCGTCAGTGACACACAATACTGCACCCCTGAGTATAGTGAGTAACTGGCCAGGATTCCTCGGCGATGGGTAGGATGATCCGGTGCGGCACAATCAGAAAACCACCGCTGAAAACTCAAAGGAGACGCTCCCGACGCTGGTCCAAGTGCATGCGCGTCGGCATTCCATTTACGGAGACGGCCTTTCCAACAAAATCCAAAAAATGTCAAGGAGCAAATACAATAAACCTAGTCTGCAGCACACCGATAACCTATGCCAGGCGAAGCTGAAGAAGAGCTGACCTAAGCATAATCTAAATAGGGAACCTATAGTTAGACGAAGGTATAAGCACTTCTTGGTCTTTCGACAACACAGGGGTGCCCAACTCCAGTCCTGGAGGGCCAGAGCTCTGCACATTTTTGGGTTTCCCCTCATTTAACACACGTGATTCAACTCTTTGTGCTAATTACCACACAGCTCTTCAGCTGAATCATTTATGTTGGAACAGGGAAAGAACTAAGCTACACAGGGCTCCGGCCCTCCAGGACTGGAGTTGGGCACCCTTGCAATAAGCATTTGAACTGCAATCAGTGAGTCTGATGTTGTCCCCCAGCTCTCTCTGGTGGCCAGGTTGAGACATGACACCTGCATTCTTCCTGGAGCTTCCTGGGATTAGCTCCAGACTCAACGGTCCCCAGTACTGGACAACTGATGGATGCATGTATCTCACAGCAGCAGGGCATGGTGCAGACAGAAATGAGGGTGACAATCCACTTGTGAGTCAAAGACAAACAAAGATTTTTTTAATTAAACGAAACACTAGGGAAAGGCGCAAATTAAAGTGACCATGAGACCATGAGGAGTCAAAACAACTAAGAAAAACAAGAACCAACTGAAGAAACTATAAAATAATGACACCATTGAATAGAGCAACACAGGTAGTGGGGGGGAATTACTAACACACAGTAACATGAGCACAATGACTGACTGAGGAGCAAGCCAACGGCAGGGACTTAAATTCACTGAACACAATAACTAACAAGGGCCAGGTGTGGCTATACAGAACTAGGGGAAATGAGGAGCAGATATCAATTACAAACACAAGCAGGATAAACCAAAACAGGGACGCAAAGATAACTAATAACCACTATGAAAAACAATAAACCAATAAACAAGCAAAACAGGCCTGACCTTGAAATCATTGCTTCAGGATTACAGCCACTGTGTTATGTACTCATCCCACTGAGCTATGCTGCAGTGCATGGGGCAGGTTGAACACACTACAGGCTTAGACTCTGGGGCTGAAAGGCAAGAGACAGGGAGGTTTAGTTGGACAGACAACTAAGCTGAGCAAATGCTAAACTTCTTAGTCAGCCAATTAGCCAAATTGTCATTTTTATGAAGATACAATCATCATAAAATCATAAAAATTGGCTAACAATTTGGCTAATTGCCTGACTAAGAAGTTTAGCATTTGCTTAGTTTAGTTGTCTGTCCAACATAGTTGTTTTATCAATGATAGTTACATGGTGTTGATATAACTGCAAGTAATATTACGGCCATTCACTCTTGTTGGCTATATTAGTTGGGGCATTTTGATTTTGTCAGTACAGCAGTATAGCATTTCTTCAGATTTAGATGTGATATTATTCATTAAAATGACATTTAGTCATTAAAATGTTGGGCAAACTCATAAGTGCTTGTAATCAGATGAGAATTTTTAATTGGAAGGAGGACATTTTTTTTACACTGTGGCAGTGTTTTAATTTAATATTTTGTAAATCATTTCGGAAGAGAATGACCACTCCTGGGTGTCATTTTTATGAAGGTACAATGTTATAAGGAAGTAAACATGTTTCAAGGAAATTGTTTTTTTTTTTTTACACTAGAATGCTTTTTTTGCCCAGGTCTGATCTACATTATAATAATACATTGACAATAGTATGCAAATACAACGGCTTCTATCTTCTTGAATAATAATAATAAATGTACCGCAGTAAAATGTCATTGATACCATTCTTAATTTAAAAGTAAAGCATATGAAAACTTTTGAAGTAATTTCCTGATTGCTAAAGCCGTCCTATCGACCTTTTCATAATTGTGAATCTTGTAAATATTGGCTTATAATTCGTTAAAGATATGGACAGACTGCTAAAATATATTTGACTGTTTGGGAAGAGTTTGGTTTTAGCTGACAAACCACAATGAATAACAAGCGAGCGATTTCGCTACGGTTACTGTAGTTAATGATAAAGACGGACGGGGACGCTGTTGCACACTGAAAGTTTCTGTCCATATAAAATACCACTGCTAAATAGTGAGTTTAAAAGAAACTAACAAAGTAGTTCAAGTAATGTGGGCGTGACGATGTTACGCAGTAGAAGTTCGCGGAGTCACCGTTTTGAAAGATTTAAGGCGGTGTTCGGGTTCGGCTTCGCTCTTCTCAGTGATAAGTGAGACAAGCTTTGCAGAAGTTTTATTTCAGCCGACGGACACGCGCAAAGAGGACGCGCGCGTGGCTCTCTTTTCACTTTCGTCGTAGGATGACATTCTGAAGAGAAGATAAAGCTTAAATTAACAGGCAAGGCTTTATTTACGTTTTATTTTTTATTTACACATTACATAATACATATTTATTTACATACTTAACGCTGCGTTTATTTTAATCACTTTTAAATATTATTTTGCACTGAAACAGCGTTCTAGAATAGGACCTTGAACAGTTTTGTATCTCTTAATTTACTCTATCGCCTAATCGGCGCTGTTATCCAGACACTTCACTAAATGAATCACTAAATTGTGATGCGGTCAATGTGTTACCTAGGTAAATTGTTAGGAACTTGAACGGTGTTCTGTGTATATTAACATCCATCAGTTCACTTTTCGTGACCTGATCGCGTAATCGAATATAAAATATAAGTTAACTCCGCGTACTATACTGTTGTGTTTTTCAAAACGTATTGTTCAATATTTTTTTCGGGCAAAATGAATTGTTGAAACTGAAAAGGGTGTCATGTTTTCAAGTTAGTTTGCCATCCAGTTTTATTTAACGAAATGAATTTTAGCGTATTTTAGGCAGAAAAAGGCACAAGGCTGGGGTACATCCTGGGATACGTTTCCCAAAAGCATAGTTGCTAACAACGTAAGCAACATATAGCTGGAATCATGCAACTAAACGGGTTCCGACTGTGTAACCTGCTAACGGGAATTTTAAGGAAACGTACCATTGGAAAGGACTCATGTGCATAGTTTAAGTGCGCGAATACTACCGATTTCACGGTAGCAAATATTTTTTGCTCTAATCTATGTAAAAAAGGCATGTCTTCCATATGTCCCCACACGACAGTTCAACAAATTTTATGTTGGAAAATAGGGGTATAGTGATCATTCAAATCTTGAAAATTGGAATAGGGGGCATTATTATGCATGATTACAAAGATACAGATTCAGACGTGATATACATGTATTTGTGGTGAGAGTATAGTTTTTAGAAACTTTGCAGTTGCAACAGGTTTAGCAGAATAAGCTGGAATGAGAGATATAGATAATAAACCATAATGAGAGTGTCTTTAGAGGGATGGGGGGTTCAGCGATGATTTAATTCTGACCAATGTTGAAACTTACGCCCTAGCTCAGATTTGTATACATAAATGATATTATATTATTATTACATATATTAGTTATTACAATGTACAATATTTGGATGAAGATGACCAAAACCTATCATTTCTACTGTAGAATTGGTTCAAACTTTGTGTGGCTACTCGTTAGATATAAAAAAAGATTAGAGCGAATAAATTTACTACAGTAAAACCGACAGTCTTCGCGCACTCGATAACTGTGCGGATGGCTTAATCGTGGTGGTTTGCCAAGATGTTAAAAAATAACTGACATTTGACATTTTATACTGAGGGGTGTAGCTAGAAATTCTGAGCCCTCTGACAACATGTCAGCCCCCCCACTTTTGGGTTGCCACTTTCAACTTGAAGAAGAATTTGCCCTGTAAAGTGTTGGCCCCCCTGAATCTGCCAGGGTATTCTTACTCCACTAACACCCCTGTATCGTGAGAGCCAGTTTTATATCACAATGGGAATGTAAAACCGGTAACAATATTGTTTTTAAATTTTTTATCCATTCCTAACATAGTATAGTGTCTCAGAAGCAGTGGTTATTGAAATATACATTATTCTGTTGATTTTGCTACAGGTATGGTGGTACCTTTAAATTAGGAACTTACTAATATAAATCCCACAACATTTTTAATAACCATTCATTTTCCAAAACCACTTATCCAAGTCACATTTTCAAAGACTCTGGAGCCAATACCAACATAGGGTTTGAGGCAGGGAACACCCTGATTGTCAGTCAATCCACATATTCTCACATATGGGCAGATGAGAGGCAGCAGCTCACCAGACTAAGGAAGGACATGCAAACTCTACAAATACAACATACAAACCTGTGGGGGAATTAAACCCTCAACCTTGAATGTGTGTGGCCATAGTGCTATCAATGAGGCTTCACAGATGTCCAGATGGGCTTACCGAAAGTTGTGCATGATATAGTGTATTACTCTATGTGAAAGCTGAAACTAATTCCATCCTGCTCTCAAATTCAGTAGTAAATGTGCATATGTATTTGTATACAAACTGTATGTACATACATGCACACATATTTTCCAATTGCTTATCCAGTAATGAGTCTCTGGAAGAGGTATATGGCTTAATTGAAATTGTGTCACAATCTCCCTTTAGTTAAGCTTTAACGATGCATGTTAGACTATAAAGATGACTCATTTGGCTCACAAAAGAAGCAGGGTGTGATTTCTTTATAGACTTAACCTTGTAATTTAGATAACATGTATTTGTTTCTGCCATACCTTTATAATATTGTTATAGAATGTTAAAAAATATCAGTACTTTATGGCATTTAGTGGTAAACTACTGTAACATGTTTTATGGTTTATATCTGACAAGGAACAAGAAATCCAATTGTTAATGCTGTCAGAGAAGCAAAGTTCATAGGGTTCAATGTTATCACATTTAATATTTCTTTATCTACAATCCACATGTCGAAATTTCATTGGATTGGGTTCGTAAGTATAATACAGTTTATACAGAAGTCTCATAAGAACATAAGAAATTGACAAACGAGAGGAGGCCATTCGGCCCATCAAGCTTGTTTGGGGAGAACTTAAGTAATAGCTCAGAGTTGTTAAAATCTTATCTAGCTCTGATTTAAAGGGACCCAGGGTTTTAGTTTGTGCTACACTAGTAGGAAGACTATTCCATACTCTAACTACACACTGTGTAAAGAGGTGCTTTCTCAAATTCATTTTAAAATGTTCTCCTGCTAATTTCCACTCATGGCCACGAGTTCTAGTATTTAAACTAATACTGAAATAGCCATTTGGCTGAACAGCATCCAGACCTCTTAGAATCTTATATACCTGGATCATGTCCCCCCTTAGTCTCCTTTGCTCAAGGCTAAACAGCTCAGCTAACCTCTCCTCATAAGACATTCCTCTAAGACCAGGAATCATTCTTGTAGCCCTACGTTGAACCCTTTCCAATGCAGCAATGTCCTTCTTAAGGTATGGTGACCAATCCTACACCCAATTTTCTAGGTGGGGTCTTACCAAGGAATAATATAATCATATTATTGAATTTGAATGTTTAGCTACAATGTCTAGAAAAAAGTTCAGCATACTAACACTGCAGGGATCCCTGAAAATACATAGCAGTGATGTTTCATTCTGTTAGTCTGTCAGTTGGCGATGTGAATTAAATCCAATAAATATTCTAAGTGAACAGAAACCTACTGTTACCTTATGAATCAGATTTTGCAAGTTTGAAACTTATGAAATAGTGAGAAAATAGGGCCTATACACTTTGAAAGGCAATGTTTATGTTGCAGTTATATGTCATTTCTGGCTCAGCAAAGTCCCTTTCCTGCTGTTGTATTTGAAAGCAGAAAGTGAACAACGGAGGATTAGCTTATGGCCTCATCCAGGAGATCACTTTGTCACAGCATAATTATAAGCATTGAGGTTCAGAGACCTGAATGTGTCCCAGACCTTCTGTTGTTTCACCGATATATAGCACTAGGCTTAGCACCCAAAGGCTGTTACAGAACTGGAGAAAAACCTTTTGTTTATATATAACGCATAGATGATGTGTGATAGAACTGCTCAGGTCCATAATATAGTCTTATAAAGTGCCAATCAATAACTTAAATATCAACTTTAACCAGTGGTCTAATACTCCATGCTCACAGTTTATTTTAATTTTCGCTATCTGTTTGATTGGGGACTCAACTTGAGATCTTTCTATGAAAATGCTCATTTAGTGATTAAGCAGGGTATATAGACTATAACAGGGTGCATCAGAAGTTTTTGCAATGTCTAACATGCAGTATTTCTTTATTTTGCAGAGGGGAAACATGACCAAGATGGAAGTGAAAACGTCACTTCTTGACGATATGATAGGAGTGGGGGATATGGTCCTCCTGGAGCCTCTGACCGAAGACTCCTTTATTCAAAACCTCAAGAATCGCTTTGACCGTGATGAGATCTATGTGAGTTTTTTTGTTTGAGTTTTTATACAGATAATAGATTTATCAGAAGCTTGCCAAGACTTTCCTGTGGGATTTACAAAATTTATTTTAAATTATAATTTTTTAAAACTCTTTTTCCAGTGCTTACGGTTTCTGCATAAAACCCTTATTTATGCTCAGCTGTAGTTTTGGTTTTACTCTTTACCTAATTGATGCATTAATTTTAGTACAGTTTGTAAAAGTGAATGTGAATTTATTTGCCCTTTAGAAAATAGATTTTTTTAAAATGCTTTAAACATGCAGACAAGAATAGTTATTCAGTTGATCTTTTACATATATGCCAAAATAATGCTATGACAAATCACTATCTTATGTATTGGAGGCATATTATCAAAATTAATGTGTTTACAGTGACAACTGCTGTTGCAGGATATGTTGTGCATTTACATTAAAAGCTCTGTATTTGTAAGTATAGTCTATAGTATTTTTCCTGGGTTTGGTGGCAACTGTAAAACATGTCAGCTGGGGGAAGGGAGGTAAAATTTATTATCCTTTCATTTATTATGTACTTTGTGGTGCATTGTAACAGTGTGGCACTCAACACACAAGACATAATCAAATGCCCATGTATATGCAATTTTTTTAAAAAGTACAGTTGACCCCACTGCTGAAGTTGATAAAGAAATGAGAAGTCTATAATTTCACTGGTAGGTTTATTTCAACAGCAAAAGATAGATAATCAACAAAACAAGCAAGAAAAAAACATCATGTAACAGTTACAAACCAATTTGCCATTTATCTAGGGAAATAAGTATTTGATCCCTTGGAAGACATTCTTTAGTACTTGGTGAAGCAACCATTGTTGGCAAGCACAGCTGTCAGACATTTCTTGTAGTTGGGCACCAGGTTTGCACACAGCTCAGCAAGAATTTTCATCCACTCCTCTTTGCAGACCTCCTCCAAATCTTTAAGATATTTAGGTCACTTGGACGCACAAAGCTTGAGTTCCCTCCATAGATTTTCTATGGGATTAAGGTCCGGAGACTGGCTAGGACACTCCATGAGCTTAATGTGCTTCTTCTTGAACCACTGCTTTGTTGCCTTGGCTGTATGCTTTGGGTCATTGTCTTGCTGGAAGACCCACCTGCAATGCATTTTCAGTTCCCTGGCTGAAGGATGGAGGTTGTCATCCAAAATATTACGGTACATGGCCCCATCCATCTTTCCTTCGATGCGGTCCTGTACCCTTGGCAGAAAAACACCCCCAAAGCATAATGCTTCCACCTCTGTGTTTGACAGTAGGGATGGTGTTCCTGGGGTTATAGTCAGCATTCATTTCCCTCCAAACATGGCCAGTAGAGTTGATACCAAACAGCTCATTTTTGCTCACATCTGACCACATCACATTCTTCCAAGCCTCATTGGAATTATTCAGACAGTGTTTCCCCTACCATTATATTAGGGGGGCGCCCCGGCCCCGCAACGGTACCTCCCACCCCCCCTTGAAGGTGAAGTTAATTTTATTTCATTTTATTTTCTATATAGCTCCAGATCACAACATTAAATTAATTTTAGGGTACCTTTCCTATAGAACAGGTCTATACATTGTCCTTTTATTAAACAAACTAAATAGCCTTATTTACACAACAACTTGTCATTTTTGTCTCTACACGTTCACGCATTTACAAATCTCCTCTGCTCTCTGTATCGCGCATGGCGGAGTTCCGCCCTGATGTGCGCTCACACAGGTGAGCGCACTCCCACCAGCGTACAGAGAGCGTGCGTCGGAAAATATGTCACGGCAACCACCTGAAAAGCAGACAAAAATGAACAGGGTAATAAATACATTTCACAATGGGATTTTCTGCTTTAAACTATCACTATTTTAAGCTATCCGCTATCACTTTTAAAGCCTAACAGCTAATGATGTATTTCCAGGTCAAAACAAACATCCGCAATAGGCTGCAAGGAGACCATTTTGCAGCCTGCATGCGGAACTCAATAAATGGGCGAGATGTTTCTAACTTCCCATATCAAGACGCTCTAGACATGTTCTTCCAGAAGCCCAGAACAGATACACTGCAGTGACAAAAGCTGCACACTTTGTGGATAATTGTCATAAAAAGAAATGTTCTGATGTTTAGTTCAGTTGTTATATTGACTGCTGTCATTAAAAGAAACACATGAACACCATGAATCCTGTCGGTGTCCGTCTGCCCTCCCCCCCAAAGCTGTAAACCTAGGAGATACACTGATTCAGGTGTTCATAGGCATACTTCAGTAGGGCCTGAACATGGGCCCTCTTGAGCAGGGGAACTTTGCAAGCGCTGCAGGATTTCAAACCATAACTGCATAATATGTTACCAATGGTTTTCTTGGGTGGCGTGGTGGCGCTGTGGTTAGCGCTGCTGCTTCTCTGCAAGAAGGTCCTGGGTTCGGTCCCAGATCCTTTCTGTGTGGAGTTCGCACGCTCTCCCCGTGCTCACGGGGGCTCTGGGATCCTCCCATGGCCCAAAAGCGTGCAGGATAGGTTGATTGGTGTGTTGAAATTGGCCCTGTAGTTGTATGCGTGTGTGTGCCCTGCGGTGTGTTGGCAACTGCCCAGGGTTGGTTCCCGTCTGTGCCCGTTGTTCCCGAGAGAGGCTCTGGTCACCCCATTTGGGATTCAGTGGTTTCAGAAAATGGATGGATGGTTTTCTTGGTGACTGTGGTCCCTGCTTCTTTGAGATCATTAACAAGCTCCTCCCGTGTTATTCCCCCAGACTATTCTTCCATTTGGAATAATTGCACCAGCTGTTGTCACTTTCTCACCGAGCTGCTTGCTGATGGTCTTGTAGCCCATTCCACCTTTGTGAAGGTTAACACTCTTGTCTCTAATGTCCTTAGACAGATGTTTGGTATTTCACATGGTGATATGGTTGAAGATGTAGACAGGTTACTGACCCAAGAATACTATTTTTCAAAGTAATGCCATTAAAAGTGAATGCTGGCTTGATATCTGTTAATATTTAATTAAGTACTACTTGTGTTGTGTTGGTGCACATGTACTTGACCTTATTTCTTTCTGGCTTGTAGGGGATCAATTATATCCATAGATAAATGACAAATTAATTTGTATTTGTCACATGATGAGTTTTTCTTGTTTGTTTTATTGAAAATCTGTCTTCTGATGTTAAAATAAACCTACCTGTGAAATTATAGACTTCTCTTTTTTATATAAATGGGTCTAGTTAGGAATTCAGCAGGGGGTCAAATAATTATTTCCCTCCCTTTATGTGTTTCCATAAGTTGTTACGTACAGTAGGGTGCTCATTGGCTCCCTTCCACTAGTAGCTCATGGTTGAGGAATTGGTCTATATTTTGGGACATACAGCTGAGAAATATTGTCAAACATGATTGTTATGATATTTTCCATTGACTTCCTCATCAATTGTTCCATATTAACAGTTAGCAAATCAGCCAGTTCTTTTTTATTATCCAAAAATAACAAAGATTATTTCAAACTAAGACAGACAACCAGAGCTTTCTCTTTAAACAACAATGAGGATATTGCTCATGTAACTATCTCTTCTGGGCCTGAGCTGCATTGCATGTTTTTCTGATGAAAATCCAGGGCAGTTATTAAAGCTTTGTTACATTGTGCTGACTAACACATACGGGATGGGGTGATGTCACTGTTTAAATACTCGCTGACTTGCGGTATCACAGGGCTCTGGGCTCAGCCCAATGTTTAGCTCCGGTTTTTCACCTCGTGTAAGAATATGTGTTCTGCCTTCAGGCAATTGATTCACTCGTGAACTGCATTGAACTTCAACTTTTATTTTTTACCCAAGTCATTTAGCCTAAGGTGATGAATTCCTAGTATGGACATATTTTGTATTCATAATTATTACATACCATTTGTTCCATTTCAGTAATATATATAAATGAAACTTACTATGACAATTATAATCTCCAAGATGTTACCTATTGACGATGCATTGAGAGAAGTCATTTGTTTCATATGATATCCTGAAATTCTAATTCTGGCAAGTTGGTATTACAGTAAAAAAACAGCTAAGGCATATACAGCTGTCTTTTCAGAAAGCTAAACTATTTGTCAGTGTGTTGGCATAAGTATTTCTAGATATATGGTTGCCTCATAACTGATACCATTTCAACAAGTTTCAGTTTGTATCCACTTTTTACAACTCCCTTAAAAAATTCACCCTCAACTCAGAGATTTTCCAGGTTAACACTGATGGCACATTTGAACTTGCTGTATAACAGTCAGATCATGGAGCTTTAGCTGAGAGATAATGATACTTGTTGATAAGTAGTCATAAGCATTTTTGTCTGGTAAATAGGGGCTGTGCCCTAACAATGTACTTTTCCTGAATTGTTTGATTTCTGTGCTGTGCAGTAAGAGGTTAAGTCAAACCAAAGCATTGATTATCACGCTTATGACAATTTAAATACTTGTATAGCAATATAAAGCTGTATCTTTAGTGTGACAATGTACTGCAGACATGCAGGCCAGGACTTGCTGCTGTCGTAGAGGTTGGGAGAGTCATAAGGCATTTGTCAGGTTCCAGCATGTAATGCCGACTGCTGGAATGGGCTTCTGTTAAAACAAGCGTCAGCTGCCACTGCTTTAAAAATATTAAGGTCATCCTGTATGTTGCCTATAATACCAGTTGATATTTTGAATCGGTCAATTTATTGTCCTATCACAACTTCATAAGTGTACAGGTTATATACCTCCATTGCGATATTATAATATCTGTGCCAACTGCATCAGTTATTTACTTACAACAATCATTAAAGGTGTGTGTGTGTGTTTGTATACATATATACATATATATTAGGCGTGTAACGGTACACAAAAATCACGGTTAGGTATGTACCTCAGTTTTGAAGTCACAGTTCGTTACATTTTGGTACAGCTGAGGTAAAAGAAACAAAACATGAATTGCTTCTTTTTTTCTGTATTAAACTGTGGTTTACTGAACAAAGTAAGACTGTCTTTCTTAAAAAGTTTCTGTCAATTCGGGTTGGACAATTAATCGGAAATTAATCAAAACCGACATTCAGAACCTCTAATTCATGCAATCTTGCCGATGAGAGTTACTTTGTTTTTTTTTTTTTAAAATCTGTTAATACTTAAAAATTCTGTTAATATTTTCCCCAGTTTGTGTTAATGTACTGTCCCCTTAAAAACATACTATATCACATGTGTTGTCACGTGACTCCACCCCATCCAGTCTGCGCCATGGAAGCAACAGGGAGCAGAACTCAAATACTGAGCTGGCTAAGCAACTCGAGCAGCCGTGTCTGTCGTTTGGTCACATTGTGGCTTTAGTGAAGACGGCACAGAACAAAAAGAGATGAAATGTAAACACTACGAAAAAACAGTTTCAGCTACCAGAAATACTACACCCAATTGGTTTCAGCACTAGCAATATTTAAAATACAGTTGTTAAGTTATAAGCCTGATATTTGATATTCAGTTTTTCTGGCTTTAATAACGTTTAAAGGAAGTAAATTAGGATGTTTTTAATGACAGAATTATGATGTCCAGTACACAAACAATGATGCACACTGATTATTTTCGCGGTTCGAGCCATTTCATAATTTGTGCAAAATCTCGTTAATACCTAAGAAAATGTGTCATTTCACCTGTAATTTTTATGTTTTGACGTCATGTCAACTGTTTTCTTGGTTTTCCAGATTTCTTTACGGGCGAAGTTGAATTAATTTTACTATGCTTTCATGTAGGGATGGCATGGTGGTGTAGTGGTTAGCACTGTCGCCTCACAGCAGGACGGTCCTGGGTTCGATCCCCAGGTTGCCCGGGTTCCATTCTGTGTGGAGTGTGGAGTTTGCATGCGTGGGTTTCATGAATCCATTATTTGGTTATTAACTTTAAAACTAAACAATACACGCACATCTAGTGAAGTGTGCTTGGATTTATGGACTCCAGGGAACAATGCACACCCTGTCATATCTGGATGTGAGCACGGACCGGGGAATCAGGAGCAGGGAGACAGAGAATCAGGAACGAGGGGTTTATTAAGGAAAACATCAAGGCAAGGGGATTCCACACAAGGTTAACGAGGGGGTGTGGCACACAGGAGGGTCGGATGAGCAAGGCGTGACACACCCCTTGGATTTCCAGGTTACTTTTGTCTGTACTTGTTATTGATTATTGTATTGTATCCATTTAATGCATAATGGGGCACTAGACTAATGGGTTAATTGATCTAAAACTAAATAAGATAGCAACACCTAGTAAAGTGTGCATTGAACAGTGGACTCTAAGGAACAATGCACACCTTGGTTTTTCAGGGTAGCTTTCTTTGTAAAATTTATTATTTATTATGCTGTGTCCAGGGAGATGTGGTGGCGCAGTGGTTAGCGCTGCTGCCTCACAGCAAAATGGTCCTGGGTTTAGTGCCTGGGTCGGGCAGAGGACCTTTGTGTGTGGAGTTGACATGCTTTCCCCGTGTTCGTGTTGGTTTCTGCCAGGGGCTCTGGTTTCCTCCCACAGTCCAAAAGTGTGTGTGGTAGGTTAATTGGTGACTCTAAGTTGGCCCTGAAATGGTGCCTATGTGCACCCTGTGGTGTGGTGGCAACCACCCAGGGTTGGTGCCTGTTGTTCCTGGGATAGGCTCTGGTTCCCCCTGTGACCCCAGTTGGGTTTTAGTGGTTACGGTGATGGATGGGTGTTGTATCTATATTATATGCAATAGGGCAATATATGAAGGGGTTAATAGCTCTAAAACCAAATGACACAGTCATGTCCTATGAAGTATGCATTGATCAGTAGCCTCTGAGGGACAATGCATGCCCCTTGGAATTTCAGGGTAACTTTCCCTATAATAGTTATTAAGAATTACATTGTATTTATATTATATGCCACTTTGGCAGTACATGAATAGGTTAATAGCTCTAAAAGCATTATTTCAGTTGCTCAAAATATTAAATGAATAACCATAAATGGTTAATCTGTGTGTTTCCTTCAATTATTTTTAAATCATAAAGATATCATAAAGATATGCAGTCTTTCATTTCATCAAATCTTTCTGTACTTAAGAGGACAAGTATCAAATATGCCAGGATACTGTTACTTCCCTTCAGTTAAAAAAAAAACAACTATCGATTATGAGGTAGTAACATTCAAGAACAATTAGTGCTGTAGTCTCCTGCTGCCAGAGCCCATACATAGTCATATGGCTTTATTTTCTGATTTTACACAATCAATTCACAGGTTTGTTAGTAAACTGACATCCAGTACAATTAGTGAGCTGTGCTGAGAATTAAGTATTTTATCCTTTTATAAGTAAGTGGATATGGTTGCAATTCTGATTTTTTTTCACTCTTTTTATTATACATCTACATGTATTATGTATAATTATCTTTTTCATCAGGTCTACGTGGTTGTAGTTTTTGGTTTGACTGGGTTTGTAGTAGAAATTCAGTTTTAATGTATCTTGCTGTCTTCTGAGAGAGATCTTGTCTCTAGGTCCTTGAGTGATGTTCTCTATGCATTTTTTTCTGCAGACTTACATTGGCAGTGTGGTCATCTCCATAAATCCTTATAGGTCACTGCCAATCTACACAGCAGACAAGGTGGAGGAATACCGCAACAGAAACTTCTATGAGCTCAGCCCACACGTGTAAGTGTCCGTGACCTTCAAAGAGCTGCTCTGAAAGATACACAAGCACAAGTACATAATACTCTAAGCAAGGTTTAGATTCAGCATTGGTAGGGATCAATCAGCTCCGAACCCCCCACCCCCCTAAACACAATATACTCCCACAACCCTACCATTCATACTCAAATACCCTTGACTCAGAGCTACATATTACATTTACACAATATATGTCACTACAATCATTTTCTTGAGTAAAATCATAAAAAGTTCCTTCACTCAAAAACGTGGATAATGTACGACTAATTAATAAAAAGCAAAACTTATAATTTGGTGAATTTTTTGTTTTTTCTTTCTTAATTAGCGCTGGAGCACAGAATGCCAAGTAATCACTAAATATATCATTTGTAAATAACAGGTAAAATCTTTCGTGAGATTACCCAGCCTGTTTTTAAAAAATGTTATTTTCCTTTAGAAAAAAATCTTCTTTAATCATTCTTGTACTATAAAATTGCAGTACTTTATTTATCCTTGTAGGGAAATTGGGTAGTTTTCACATTCTTCATCCTTAAAATGTACACTACCAGTCCATACCTGTCAAGTTTTGGATTTGAAAATAAGGGAAATTTTCCGGCACCCACCGCGAGCCATCCCACTCCCCCAACCAAGCTCCAGTATCCCTTACATTTTAAGACAGGTGTACAAGAAATCTAAAATAAAATATCATTTTATTTTCATTACACATTTTCTTTTAATTTCTCATGTTCACTCATTTGGCTCTCTGGCATTCAGTAATGACTTATAATACGGATTTGTTGCAGACTTTGTATCCTTGTTGAAGTCGTCACAGAAGGTGAAAGTAACGTACGTTGTTTTTGGCACACAGCATTGCCATTTTAACCTCCGCATTTATGACCTGGTTAATGTTGTAAATGACCTGCAGGCTACTGCAGGTGGCAGTTCTCGCGAGGCTACTGACAGTTCAGTTTGGAGAGGCAGAGGAATTTTTTTTAATTGATATTATAATACGGGAGATTTACGGGAAAATACTAATATGGGAGGACGGCGGGAAAGAGGGGTAAAATACTGTAGTTTCCTGGCCAAAACAGGAGACTTGACAGCTATGTACCAGTCAAAAGTTTTTTTCACACCACAGGTTTTTACCACTTTTCCATTTATTTCATAAACTGCAGATTTTTTTATTCTTGCTAAGCATTGGAAAATTGAGTGACCAACTATAAATGGAAATACAAGTGAAATAAAACAAGTTTTCTTTATAATTTGGAAAAACTATGTAACAGTGCATGTCTGACATCCTATTAAGTGGTTGTGTGGTGATGGCATAGTCAAATTTTAGGCTGTCCTTTAACTTTAAATGTACTAGTTAACTGTTTCATCCCAGTATTTAATGTACCATGTGGAAATAATGCCTCAAATTTGCTTTGCTGTTATAACTGCTAGAGGAGGCTACTTTGATTAATCAAAGATATGACATTTTCTTACTAATAAAAGTACTCAAATGGTGAACATACTGTAAATTCATTTGTTAGCCAAGAATATTGAGTGCATTTTTAGTAAATGTTAACTGGGTAACATGCAAATGTAGAATATTTTAGTGCGTGCAAAAACTTTTGACTGGTAGTGTACAGTATATGAAGGTGAAATCACGTTTTTGGGGCAGTGTTTCCAGTCAGCCAGTGTTTACCCCTTGAATCCTTGAACTACACACCACACTGTTGTTTAGATTAACCTTAGCTGAAATAATTCCACTCTTCTAAAAGCTTTGTCCGGTCTGGAGTCCACATATAAATGGATTCTCTCTTGTCACGGGCTCCACTGAATTTTTACTTGGCCTTGACTCAGACTCGAACACTCGTGACTCAAAAATTCTTCTCCAGTCCATCGGAGTCCATAGCATATGTCTGCAACTTGTATTCAGCTTTAGCGTCCCTCCCCCAATTCCTTACATTTCCTTCAGTGTTTTTTGAATATTATGCATGCACCTACTCATGCCCCTCATCATCTGTCAAGTCAGCAATTATCCAGTTTGCATACATAAACCATCAGACGTTTCTGTGCATAACATCTAGAAAAAAGACGCAACTGCGAAATTCAAATATTGTATGAATAACTGAGGTGGCTGGCATGGCTTATGGCTTCTGTCAACATTTGGAAAGGAAATATAAAGACTAATGCTAGAGAACTAAATTTTTCAAGAAGAGCTGACTGACTGAGTGTCCAGTCAAAATTTGGTTTACATAATAACTAGCTAACCAACATCTTCTAATAATTATTATTATTGTACTTTATTAATCGACATGTCCTAAATTTTCATTCATACACATCACAGACCTTGGTCAGACAGTCAGTGTTCAGCTTCCCTGGAATCACCCTCTGTTGGATTCATTTTATTAAGCCTAAGGTCTTGACATGAATAAGGTGGACTCTAACACAGTACTGGGATTGGGGAAAAATATGCCTGTGGCCCATATGTGTATGGATCAGGCATACCCTTCAAACTACTCTGCAGGTGATGAAAGAATGATTTTAAAAAGTAAAAATACTGTAGTTTTAATGTTAGTTATTGACATCTAGGTAAAGTTGAAACAATTATTCGCCTTAGTCGACTAAAATTGATTCCCAAATTAGTTGGCAACTAATTCAATAGTTGATTAGTTGGTGAAATGATCACTTGTGTTTCTTGTGTCAACTCGAAATGTTTTGATATTACCGCTCACTAGAGAGAAGTTAACCAAAGCACGATGGTAGCTTCAAAAACAAAAAACCTGAAAGTGCAGAAGTATTTCACTTAAACTCCGAAAAAGGTTGTTAGTTGCATAATTTGTAAAGCTGACCATAGTTATCATGGGAGCACATCCTCTATGCTCGAGGATCTGAAGAGGAAGCACGTTGGCTCACTGACTTAAGAGGACTCATCTCAGTAAGCTAGTTATGCTAGCTAGCTAATTAGCTAATGTTAATTTTAAAAGCCATTCTACTTCATGTTATGAGCTGTAACATTTTCTATTTTCAAATGCATATTCTCTTGAATTGTTAATGGAGTTGGATAATGCCAGTATTACACCTAACAACTTTTCAAGCGATTTTAATGGCGTTGAAAAATTTCCATTGTCGGGCAAAATCATGAGAGTTTCCTGGAGTTGAAGCACGCCCCTGTCTCAATCGTTAGGTGTAAGGAGGTCTAAATAGCTGTCTTAAGTACGTCTAGTTAGCATCTTGACGTTCCGATAAAATGAGACATGCTTAGTATTATCGTGAGTTTTAACGCCTAGCTTATGCAAATAGTAACGTGGACATCTTCACCAGGACACCCTACCTCTCCGGGAAGTTCCAGGAGTCTCTTGCAAATTGATAGCGCCTCCCAGACTCCCATAAATTATATACATTATCCCGGAAATAATTGTTATTATAATTTTTTTGACAGTGGGCACGCACACATGAGAGAGAGAAAAAGAGAGAGAGAGACAGGCGTAGTGATAGAGTGAGAGAGATCTGCTTTGTTTTAGCCTATATTATTATACTTATGTCATGTATACAGTATAGGCCAGGAGTCGGCAACCTGTGGCTCACGAGCCACATGCGGCTCTTTGACCACGTGACTGCGGCTCTTCTCAGACATTTGTTGGGATTCCTAATTCTTCCATATACATTTTGTAGTAAATCGTCACCACGCCTTCCCAGGTCTTTGTAAAAATGATTGTATTTCCTCCAATTTACATATTATAGCCAGCTGAGTTGTGACTACATTTGCACTGCTCGTCAGCACAGCAGTAGTGAAGAGGAGAGTGAAGGGCAGATGACTGCAGAGCCGAACGAAAGAAGCGGTGAGGGTGACGACTATCTCTACAGAACTGAACAATGTTGTAATATTAGTCACCTTTGTGCTGTTACGCATCTGAGTGATGTAAAACTGAGATGCCCCCTGAAATTGGTTTTCTTTATTTTATGTAAGTACTTAAACTTTTGTTTTTGAGTTAAATGCGTATATACTCATATCACGTAAAAAAATCGTATCTCAAACCCCCTTCTCTACCCATTGCGGCTCATTGTAAATCTTGGTTCAGATATTTAGGAAAAAAATGGCTCTTTGCTTTAAAAACGTTTCCGACCCCTGATATAGGCTGATACAAGTGTTGAGTGTATGTGTTGTTTCAGTGGTGTGGACTGATTCAGCATGTGTATGTGCAAGTGTTTCTGTAATTTTCCCTCACTGACTTCCCTGACTTTCCTCCATTTCAATACAAAACTGTGATTGTAAAATTTAGTTGCAAGAGAGTGTAGAAGGACAGCAGAATGCAGAGAGCACAGAATGCAAATGTATATCCTTACTCTTAAAATTTTACATTTTAATTTAGATGGATTGTTTGGTTTACTTGATTTAGGGGAAACTGATGTAGTTTTGGTATATTTAATTGCTTCTCATTGCTTATCCTTGGTTTTAAATTTTAACAGGACAAATGGATATTGGATTTTTAAAAATCTGTAGTATTAACAGGAACGTTCATTGTTAGCAAATCTATGAAACAACCTCAAGCTAAATTTTAAAGCTGATAGCTGATACCAAATAAGAGTTATTTAGTAATTGCGTGATTCATCCGACTAATCTACAGAATTATCAAAATAGTTGTTTGTTGCAGCCCTACATCTAGGTAACCCAAGAAATACACAGTTATTCACAGCCACTTTTTTTTCTCTGCATCTCATCATCCTCTGTGTTCCATGCTGCTATTTATACAGAACGCTATCAAGTTGTTTTGTATGTTTAGTTGAATTAGTAATTAAATAACCAACATTTTTTTTGCAATATCGAGTAGAGGCTGTATAACAAGATCTTTTTTTGAAATAGTCAATCAAAGGTTCATAATGGGGGGGAATGTCCCAGTTGAATTGCAAACACTGTCACATATAATGTTGGAGAGCCATAAACAAGGGTAAAAAATAAGTGATTTATTTTCATTTGCATAACATGATGCTGTTTGGGTCATTAGAGGACCACCTTGGTG